TGATCAAGAGATTAGGACTGCACACAAAGCAGTGCAGTCTGCTTCTGCAATCTAACAATACACATACTTCTTCAGCTGTTCTGCTTCATGTAAGTAAATATTCTTTGACTGGAGTAAGCCCAAAGATCTGCTATACTTCCAAATGAGTGAATATCATGATCAGCTGTAGTAGTTCAATACCTAATTTAATCTTTGAGTTGGTTCATAGTTAGTTATTTAAGCAAAATGTTACATCTCCAGTACAAGGGGCTGAGTGCATCTTCAGCATTGTTCATATTGGAGTGCTTTTATTATTATTCCTTTAGACTCTTCTATGTACCCTTCATTTAATGTGAAATTAACTTTCAAATGTGGAGGGAAATTAATAGTATGTATAAATTCTTAGATTATTTTCTAAAACTCTCTAAATTTTTCAAGCACCTATACAATCTCAGATATTTTGGTAGCTTCAGAAACAGAAGTCCTGTCTCAGATAGGAGACGCCTCAGATAAGGGAGTCCTGTCTCAGACAGGGCACTGTGAACAGTCTGTGAGCTCTTTTTCAACGTCATGAAGCCTATCACTGGATAACAGCTGTCTTGAGCAGGTCTAGGGACTGGCCACATAATCTCTAAAATTAAATCATTTACTCAGAAGTAAAGGCTTGAGGTCTTCAGGAGCTCAGGCTCTGTGGATTGGATGCAGAGGATGGCAGATACACTCTATCAGTCAGTGGATGACACATTTGTCTCTGAAACAAAAGCGTAGAATCAAAGTAAAGATGCTGTTAGAGGATGCTGCACATCTGAGGGCAGATCAGACTTTGATGAGGCTTGGTAAATTCCATGTTGGAAAGAAAAGAAGGGCTGCATATCTGCATTGCATATACTTTAATGTAGATTTCCCCAAAAAATATAATTTGAATTAGACTTTAATTCATGATTATTATGTTTCTTGATATGAAACAATTAATAATGTCAGGTTCTGAACAAAATTAAATGATACAAGAAAATTAGGCATGGCAAGAATAAAAAAGGCATGCAATACCAAACTCTTTCTAAATGTAAAATTTCACCGTATGTCTTTTTTATACTGTAGCAACCAGGGCACAAGGGCACTATGAACATGTGGCCCTTTATTTGATCAAGGATAATAATCAACTAAGCTGAAAGGAAGGAAAGTAGATTTTCCTAGTTCAACCGCTTGATATAATCTTTTATGTGTTTCTAATTGTGTAACCATTGTTATTGGCAGAATTGTAACATGCAGGCATTGTTAATTGGGGAAAAAAGTGCAAATAACAAGGAATCCAAAATGCAGAAAAACAGAATATTTTATCCGTATGAAATGTAGGGAGCTTATGGAATACTGTTCCTTATTCAATAGTGTTAATTATATTAACACTATATATAGTGTTATATATGACACTATATATAACAAGATATTCTGCTTTCCTCCATTTTAGAGCCCATTTGTCCTTGTCTCCTCTTTGCTTCCTTATTCCTCTGTAGGCTTGGGTCCTGGAGAGATGTGATTTTGCTTAGCCTCACAATTGCTGCGAATTTGTAGTGACTGTGGAAGCAGCATAGGTAATTCCTGGTAGGATCTCCTACTTTTCTGATCTTTTACCATCTTAGAAATGGTGATTATTTGGGGTCTAATCATTAGCATTGACAAAGATCTCTCTAGAGGCTATGGATGCCTATAGTCCTCCCATTAGGAACATCACTCTCATTTTAAGCTGTGGAAATGCATCTGTTTCCAACAGCAAAGTTCCATTTAATGACAACTTAAACATGTCAAGACACCCCATGACCAGTTGCCCTCTGCCTTTGATATGAAGAACAATATAAAGGCTACTTTGCAAACCCCTATTCCTTTTCATTCTCCAGCTACATATCCCAGCCAAGTGCCAAAACACATTGTGCTCCTTTAGAAATGTGCTGAGAAACCTTTCAAGACAAAAATCTTCAAATTTATCTCTACTTTACAATAATAAAAAAAAATAAGAAAATAAAATATTGCTGTAAACAGCAATATTAAGCAGAGCTTCATGGTCCCTTGACTGGACCCCTAAGGATAATTATAATACTAGAAGTAATTCAAACTGACAGTTTCAGACTTAACAGCTCCACAGGCACTTATTTGCAACAGTCATAGAGTCCATAATAACCTGTCTACTCATGCCTAGATTTCAGTCCAACATCTATTGCAAAATCTAATCCTCTCCGTAAAGATAGGGTATAACAAATCCTAAACTAACCCTGATCTGTTTCTTCCCAGTTGTTAAACCAGTTGTTAAAGGCAGGAGGCCTTACCTACATAAAATCACTAATGATCCGACCCAACAATTTTAAATCTAGCTTTACAGTCCTCTTTGGGCTGATCCTTACCCTAGGCTAAGTGGCATATTCTGTGGCATACATGAACTATTGAGAAGCTGATCTCTGATCTAAACCTGAGGTCAATCCCTTTGCAATTTCTGCAAGACTCCAGAGTGAAGAAGTCTGCTGAAGTCCCTCTGAGGTCTAGCAGTAAGCTAGCACACAGTGTTCAGAGGTATATTGGCTTTCCTAGGTGCGACGATACTGTCTCTTCTACTGGCAAAGATGAGACTTCACTAGAATCTGATATAATCAGTAGAACATAATAGATATAATCAGTAGAAGCTACAATCTAGACTGTTCTTTGGAAGAACAGTACCTCTCTTCCAGCCCTGATTGTGTGGGTCTCCTGGCCTCATTGCTAAGCACAAGATCACAACCCACAAGATAACTGATTTTTTCTTCTTGCTTGGTCCAGTTTCTACGAGAATCTGCTTTACTTTAGAACTGACAGCAGAACTTATCATCTATTTTACCTTCTCTAGTCCCAGTTAAAATTCATTGATGTAGACAAATAGATCAAATGAATTTTATTTCTCATATTTCTTTCTTGGATTTATTTTCCTCTGACAGCATTCATTTGGCACTGATTGTACTCAATTTTTTGTCTCATTTTCTGACATATATATATATATGAGAAACAATATATGAATACATATATAACTGAACTAATACATGACCACCAAGTGAACATGTATTAATCCAATATCTATTAAATCATTAATTCTTAAAATCATTTACTGTAATACTGCTGCACTCCAAATGTTTGAATCTTCCTGTGGGATATCTCCGAAAGCTATGAACACATAGCTTTTCCTACACATAAACCTTAGTTTGACATTTTTAAGAAATAATAGTAAATAAAGCAGCATTGAATTCATCAAACCACATATTTGACTGAACTATGGGATCATAAAGAGGGATGTTAATCAATTGGTTTGCTGAGACATAGCTATTATGTCTCAGCATTGCCTTGTTATGCAACAACTATGAGTGATTTGACTTAAGAGATTTGACTAAGAAGAAATAATTTTTTTTTGCTGTAGCTGATTCACTTGGCCAATGGATATAAGCCCGAATAGCCTATATTACCACTACATATTTTTGAGAGTTTTTGTTGAGACCAAAACTTTCCTGTATCGTTCTGGCATCTGTGGTCATAAAATAATACTCCGCTCTGACAATAAGCAATGAAGCAACTGACCTGCAGTCTCTTACATCTCAGCTACTTAAATTGAGGTGTTTTTCTCATTTCTGCATAAAATATTTCACATCAGTAATGACTCATGAGTACAGTCAATGCTACTTATCATAATTCCACTGCAGTTAGGTGTTCGTGATAAAAAATACTATAAAGAAGGATGAAATAAAGTTATACAGGATTAGAAATAAAAACTTCATCCTTAAATCATCAATTTTCTCCCACCAAAAAAGGCCTACCACCTGATTTCCCATATCCAGCATATATTCAATGGCCTAAATGAGAACATGGATATCAAATACTTTCAAAACCGTTCACAAACTGCATCTAAATTCAATTCTGAAATTTCTATTGGGAGCATCTGATTACAGAATAACATCTACTCTTTCATGAATATGTAAAGAGAAGCTAGTTCTATGTGTGCTCTTTTCTCTGTCCTTTTAAAGTAAATTCGGTAAATATTTTTTTCCTTCTTCAGAAACACATATATATATGAATGTTTATATACACAGTACCTTAGCACTTGTTTTTTTTTTTAATGAAAACAGATGATCAAAAGAGGTGCAAAATTTTTGATCAACTTTACTGCTTTTTTTTTTCTGAATATACACAGTTGCTGTAATTCCATAAAAGTTAATGGAAATCTTATTGTGGATTTCCACCAGCAATTGGTTTGGCCTCACACCAGAAATAATTTTGAAATCCCATGACATTTTCTGTCATAGTTTAATTTGTTTCAGTTATCCAGTTATAGTATCAGGCAACTGAAATTAGCTTATATTTGCTTTGTTTTATTGGTTTTATTTTCAAGGAAAATATTCCCCACAATATATTTTATTTGTTTCCTGAGGACTTTCACTTACACAAGTGGGCACTAAACATTTGAAATTGACTTTTCAAAGCACAACAGTAAAAAACTTAAGAATTTGGCTTAATTTCATTTAAAACAGTAAAAATTGACCTTGTAAACATTTCCATAGGAGGTAGGATACATGCATTTGACAATTTGTCAAATAAGAGAAAGTAAACAGTGACTCTGCAATCCTAATAAATAATGACGAACACAGACATTAAATAAACATTTTTTATACAAAAAGATATGAGAAAGACTAAATATCATTTTTAATAAATTAGGAATAGATGTAATAATTTCTTTACAACATAGTCATGTTTGCTAGAATCACTGATTCTTTCTGCTCACCCTGAATTTCTGGGAAACGGTGACAATTCTGAGTGATTCACAAGCACAGCACAATTTCAACATAGCTTTTTTGGGTATGTGTGGAGGAGTTCTAACAGCTCTAAAGCAGCTCCCTTAACACCTATATGCAATACTTTTCTATCTCACCCACTTAAGTCATCATAACTTTACTTATCAGATCTTTAATGTCTGGAATTGGAAAGCAATTTTAAAGCAGTGGCATTTCTCTTCCAGTTCAAGTTCCCCCAGCAGCCGCTCCCATGAAGACAGTATTGATTGGTGGTAAGGATGATACAATGTCTCTGCTTGGTGGCCCATGGGACTCCAGATTTTCCTGAGAAGGGAACTGACCAGATGTTCCATACATACACTGTGATGAAGTTGTAGTTTGCATGTTTGAAGCTATGAAAACAAAAAATATTCATCATGAAAGTTTTCTGTTTAGCATTCTGTTTAAACACAATCCACCTTCATTTGGTGGCAATCCTTAATACTACATACACCATGTGAAGAACTGAAATTTCAGCTGTACTATACTGTACTCAATTATTCAATTCACCTACACTTTTATTCTTCAGTGGCTCCTTACATTGTCATGAAATAGCTCAAAACCCATATAACAGTGAATTCTGCTAAAAATATAGCTATGGGCCTGAAATTTACAGCCTGCATATAAACTATCTTCTGTAAAAACTATGTGAAACTACTTTGTTTTCCTTCTCTTTCTATATCTTGCATTACTCAGCTGGATATTCACTGAAGGTACCATGACTTCTGCATACAGTCAAGCCTACTACTAAGCACATATCACTATGGAATACATAAACTGCTTGATTGGTACAATTCCTAAGCACTGGTACTGGATTTTTATCCCTTTAGCTTCATTTAAAGAATCAAATATTGAGCTCTTGCAGAGCCTTAAGGTGATTGAGATCTTGCAGAGCCTTAAGGTGACAAGCAATAGCTAATCTTCTGTACAAGGTTAACACAGAAGTAATAGGAATAAATTATGCAGAAATACCCAAACTGTGCCCTAGTTTACATAGGTATGTCATTCAGTACTTAAGATTTTTTTTTTTAATATGAAACCAAACTCAGCTGCCATTTCATTAATACATATGCCAAAGCAAACACCTTGTGGTAGGTCTTCCCCTAAAATTTCCAAGGCACCTTTCCTAATTCACATAGCTGTTGAAGCACAGGACAGGAAGGGACTATGCTTGACAACAGTGTTGCTTGATTTATTTGAAAATAAGGATCCTTAAAGGATGTGGAATGATCCTCACTCAACAGTTAGAAAGCATTTCCTAATACTGATTTTCCTGCATTTCAGGCAAGTCATGGACAATGTATCACAGTTCTCTGCGTGTGAACAAAGAATCATTAAACCTCTGGTCCTGAAGTATTAAGAAAACCAAATCATGTGACATATCCTAGGAATTCATTTATTTTGTCTCTATATTGTACAAGAATACTTATCCCTTGAATTTTATGTACTTACTGTATGAGTGGAATACTGTATAATTCTAAGCACCTTCTAAGATATGAAAAAGTTAATTGTGCTTGTTCATTTGCTGGCTATACTTACGTATAGGAGTCCGGCAAACAATCGAAGATGAGGATTCTGTGTAGTATGAGCCTGTTTGTTTTCTTCCACTCTCATCTAAGATATTAAGTGGATCGTGAATATCATTATATGACGGCAGGGATCGAATGCTGCTTACACTGCTGATCACAGAAACGTGCTGATCCACCATTGATCCAAGTCTGTGAGATTCTGGGTAATTTACACTGTTTCCATAATAGCCTACTGGTGGGAGAGTTGGAAAAAGAGAGTAGAGTTAAAGTGATGTTGAAAAGAAAGGGTAGGGTAGAGTATGAGGATGGCACTGGAATTAGGAAAAAATTACCCACTATTTATCTGAAGTAGAACATGGCAGCAATTTTACACTTATGTAAAGTATGAGAATATATTATGGCCCCACACATGAAAATAATGCTAATTCATATTTGTATATGCTTTTGTTTCACCACCCTGACACTGTAGATTTTTTATGGATTTTTAAGGAATTGCTAATTACAGTCATCCTCATGTTGCTTCTATTGTGCAGGGCAGGGTGATGATATCAAAGGAAGATTAGGGCAGGTGCAACATTGGCATTTGAAGTTGACTGAGGATTCCTCAAGTGAAAATCAATTCTGAAGCAGCTTGTAAGGATACTTTACAATTTACATGTGCTATCCGAGAAATAAAAAAGCAAAAGTTATGAACAAATCTTCCATAAGAAAAAGTGGAGAAAGAATGGCTTACTCTGGCAAGGAAAGATAAACTGAAGAGAAAATGAAAATATTTTAATACCATTGGAAGCATTAGAAGGATATGCTGCTCCTGGACAAGAAGACACTGAGTTGGTCAAGAAATTGAAGCTCCCAGTATTCAGAAACTGCATATTGTGTGTATCCTGAGTCATGGATGAAGAACCATAGCTGGAAGGGGACCTGGCATTGTATGGAGACACTGCACAACTGTTGCTGAAGTAGTCTCTGGAGAACTGCTGTTCATTCAAGGTGTTGAATCGGTTGTGCTCTGCTCTGTGGTGATAAACTCCAGAAGTGGAATGGGCCTGAGTTCTGAACATGGCTTGATAATTGGAATTGGTTCCATAGTAATTCTGATTAGTTTGTGATAAAGTCTGATAAAGGGGTTCTGAGTAGGAAGAGCACTGTGAATGTGTGGATAACACCGGGCCTACACTTGGAGGTCTCCCAGCCATTGGCCCCTGGTTGATAACACTTCCTCGGCTGACCATGGCTGGTGAAATGGGTGGGGTCATCAAGTGGCCAGTGCTTTGAGAGAGCTCCATCTGACCTGGAACAAATAAACATTATGTGTGGTCAGCATTCGTGCTGTAGCACTGCTGAATACAGCGTAGTCAATTAAGACACTAATTAAGACACTATGTGAATTCTGCATTATTGCTTGCAAGCTTTACAAAGAATATGCACAGACTCCCATCTAAACAACACAGCTTCCTAATCAATGGCTGCTGGCCATAAAGGTTCTCAGTTTCATTCTACATCTTGGAGAATGCTACATTCATTAGAAAATTCCAACAGTTACCAGGCTCATGTACTCAAGATCTTACTGTTCATTTCTTACAGTGGAAGATTGTTCTGAGCCAAGGCACGAGGATAGTTTCATCACTGAGAAGGACAGAGTAGAAGAGCTGATACGTACCTGCCAATTGCATATTCTCACCATCTTCTGTGGAGAAGGGGTTCAGATCAGAAGGCATACTGCTAGGCTGACTAGCTGACAAGGCCACATAGGTTTGCTCTGCTAAACACTCATTTTTGACTGAAGTGTCGCTGGACAGAGAAGCAGCTTTGTTACGATTTGCTAGGAAGCAAGAGCTTGGTGAGGCAGTGAAGGTGGCTTTGCTTGCATCTGGAAAAGTAAGTGAAAACCTTTGGTGGCTGCTATATATGTTCATTGCATGTAAATTTACCATTAGCACACAGACAGCTCATGAGCTGCCTGTCTTGCTTGTATCTTTGGTTACTTATTCTAAAAAAACAAATAAAGCCTCTGAATTTTGTATTTGCGAACACAAGTATTGTGCTAGCCTTTATCTTTCTGGTGTAATTATTTTGATCATTCTCCATGACCACAGGTCTATACATATAAAATCAGCTTCTTACTGAAGAGAACATAGGGGGTCACATCTACTCAGTTGAAGTAAATGTCAACAATGAAATCCATTAAATTGCACTAACAGTGAATTAGGCTTAAAGACACTTCATCCTAAAGAACTGACAGTGTCTGTTTTAGAATGCTTAAAGTCTATTTATTTTTATATTGATACCTAGAAAAAATATTTGTTTTACTCTGTACTACTGCAGCTTTATGTGGAAGATTGATAAAGTCAGTGGAAGATTTGCTATTCTTCAGTGGAATCGTGACTTCACCTTATGGTTTCAAGTGCTTCACCTAAGTGTCTAACGAAAAAGCAACTACTGCACAGGACCAGGTTTTCTGGAGAAAAAAAAAAAAAAAAAAAAGCAGAGCATCTACTCTCAAAAAATTTCAGCACAAGTTTATTGGAGCAAAGGGCAAGTTTGGAGTAGCAACACTCAAAAAATTCATTTTAATGAATTCAGTCATTTTAATGTAAAGAACCTAGAAGGTATGACATCAAATTGTCTACCCTGAAGAAGCTTAGTAGCTAGAAAATTTTAAGGAGACTATTTTAAATTCTTTTTGTTTCTCTTTCACGTGTTAATACTTCTGGAAGCTAAATAGGGCTCCAGTCCTTCAGGGACCTTTGTATAATGATCATCTTTAGCACATCCTAGTTCAAGGTGTAATTGTGGCGGAAAAAAATGGATTGGGAATTCCTACTCTCTCTACTACTTGTTCCTCTTTTCACACTGCACTTTATGGCCCTTCAGTTGCATCAACATGAGTGTTTGTTGCATCCTATATCATTTCTCACAAAATGTTATTAGATCAACTATAGTATGAAAATGAGAATGAATGGCTGATGCTGATATGCTTTTCTCATGGAATTGACAATATTGTATGTAACTATACATTGAGCAGAAGACAGTAAGCCTGCTTCTGATGTATGTAAATTTTGAAAAATTAAGGAATACTTCAAAGGAACCAAGCTCCAGTTACCTAAATTCTTCATGTATTTGTCCAGTAGATTCTGCAGTTCTTGTTCTTTGTCATTGTTGAACTGGGTCTCCATGGCAAGCAGGATGTACTCATCTAGTAGCATGCGGATCAAATGAAAAGAACCTTTTGGAGGAGAAAGAGAGAGAGTAGCTGAGTTATCTTTGTGACCATCTCTCACCACTCTACAAGAAGCAAGTGAAACAAACAAATAATTGTGGACTTTGTGTGACCTGGCAAGACCAACAAGGAATAGTGCCTAACTTCTAGCTCTAATCTCTCTTTGCACTGGCCCACCTAGCTCAATTGTTTACTGTCCTGTAGGCTATTTGACCACTAATTACATCAAAGAAAAATACTGATGAAAGTGAGACATGCTTTATACTTGAAGAGGGCACACAGTGGAGTTAGATAAGGCTAAAGTCTGCAAGAATGCCTCTGCTCTATTTCTGTTTGTCTTGTGCTAAATAACCAGACAATAACTAGTGAAGTCTTTGACATTATTTCAAGGGAATATCACATTGAAAATGTGTCTCTTCTCATAGCAATTTCAAATGGCCTCCGAATTTGTGATAACAGTGTACCTACAAGTACTGATATAACTTGGGAAATAATATACTGGATTTAAGTATATTTCATTTACTCTAACATATATCAATTTTCTAAGGATATTCTTTATGGTATTGTCTGATATATATTATATATATATTTCTAAAGATGGGTGTGTGAATCTGAATATTTAAATGTCATGAACACTCTGCCAAATTGAATGCTTCTTGGTTCAAGAGTTAGGCAACAGTGGTAACCCGTCAAATTCCTCTTCCTATTGTGAAAATATACATCACAAAACCTTCTCTCCAGAAATATTTTTTTTATCAAACTGATTCACATGTAAAGCTAATAATTTAGATCTTCTGTCTCTTATATTGAGATACATTATTATCATTTCATTGCTATAATGAAGCATGGTTTCTAGCTCTTAAATGGCGAAGCAGTAGCAAACAGCAATTTAAAAGAAAAATACCCTTGGAAAATAAATGTGTAATGCAGGTTACCAACAAATTATTGATTGCATTTTCTGTGAAGCATTATTTTGAAAAGCTCATTACACAATAGTTGTGACTTTGATTAAAATAATGTTTAGAATCAGAGAGGTTCCTCTACTAAGGAAATGGTGGAAAGGTGGCTTTAGTGGCAGCACATGAGCTGCAAGTAGGAGAACTTTTACAATGCCTAGGGTACCAAAACTTGATGCGTTGTTTAGGGTGAGATTATGCATCACACGAGCACCAAAGAAACTCCATTTGAGAAGGAAATCTTGAGCTCTCTTCTTTAATGACCTCCCATTTTGCTTGCTTGCCTAAAAGAGAAAAGTAGTAAAATTCTGTAAGTACACTAATTTGCTTTCAGCACACAGAATATAAGAAATGAGGACTGTGTGTACTTGAGAAATCATAAGGTCTTTGACTCAGACTAATGTGGCAGAGTGGCAAGTTGCCTGATACAAACTCACTTCATAATGTATGTCCTTAAAGTGATAAAGAGGTGAAGTTTCAGCTCTGCAATGCCCTGGTGGTGTTTAAATTAGTTCATGTTCTAGTCTTAAAGGTGCCAGATTGTTCTGTAAATATACAGCTGTATAGGGAGAAGCGAAAAAAAACTCCTGGCAGTATACTACTCTGCATATATAAGGAGCAGGAATTAGTCTCTGTACCTTAACATAATCTACATAATATTTGCCAGACTCTTTCTCTTACAAAATTGCAAGTTTACTATTGTAAGGATTTTAATGATAAGGCTTTTAATACTGCTCACTTCATACTGTCACTTAGCTCTAGCAGTACATGGGTCACATAGTGACGGTGTGCCATGTAGCTTTCTCAAACAGCAAGCAGAAAGAAACTGTTGTGTAAGGAAGTCTGACGGTAACCACACTTTAGCATGAACAGAAGGCAGAACGCAACGGAGGGATTACCTGTTCTGTAAATGATTAGCTCCTACTTAGCTGATCCTAACTGAGATCAGGAGTTGTTGGCATTTCTTACCCCTAACCATGGGAAAATAGTGTTTGAAACCATAGCAGCTGGCTTCAATAGAGTATTACATAGTAGATGCTGAATAGGAGAGTGAGTTACCACTTTTGGAGGAGCTTCTTTATCAGGGATTGTTTTTTGAAACTGTAGAATCAGTTCTGGACCATAACCATTCAGTTCTACCCTCAGCTGGAATTGTTCAGCTTCTGTTAAATTGGTAGGATTTTTGTGTCTGAGCAAATGGGAGGCAACTTTGGCTCTGTTGTCCTGATCCATCAGAGCACCTTAATGTACTACTCACATATGACAGTAAATGTTAGTGAACCCAAAGTGCTTTAGAAAAAAAAGAATTAGCACTGTCTCCATTTAAAGCTGGGAAAGCAGAACTGAACGCAGGTAAAATGACCTGCCAGTGGTTATTCTGTAAGTGGTAGAGCCACTTTTTCCCGAGCAAATCAAAGCTAACAGCATTGCCTCTCTTGCACTGATGTGCTCCTTAGAATGATGGATAAGACTCATTTCATCAGTGGCACATCAAAGCATTTCCAAACAAGGCAAAACCTGAGGAGAAATCCATTGTTCAGAACATCTGTCAACCAGTACCCCACAAAACATTGCTTTCTGCTGATTTTCGTTCATCAGAATCATAAACTGGGCCATTATATCTGTATTCAGCTGTGACTCATAAATCCGAGTGCAGATGTGAAGTGATACAGGAGGTCTATATTTCTATTATTTTATTCTGAACTACAGTGCAATAAGTCTGTAGTGACTATATACATATTTACATAATATTATATATATACATAAAAAAACCCTTGTGATTATAAAACAGTTTTTAAACCATGAAAAAAAAATACCCATCAAATACCTTTTAAAAATTTAAAAGGATATCTTCTAGGCTGGTTTGTAGAAATCCTTCTTTAACTTAGCTTCTTATGAACCTATCTACAAGCATCACCATCAAACAATACAGAAAATATCCAAAATAATGCATAAAAATAGATACTCTTCTCTAAGAAACAGCTCTTGCTCACCTTACTGGACAAGCACCCTATAATTTTGCATGCAGATAGTGATGGATGGGTGAGTGTTTTTTTTTTTCTTTTTTCATATACATGTTTATAATAGTGCTGATTTCAATGTCTTAATTAAGATACTGCTTAGTTTTTCACGCATATAAGACTGTTCAACAGCACTTGGAATGAAATTAATTAGAACTAATCTTGCTGGAAGTTTTCATACTAGATGAATAACTCTTCTGTTAAAAAACAGAGATAGGAGCAGAAGGGAGAATCCCATTTGGAAACTTAATGGGACTGTATCCATGAGTAAAGGAGAGTACTATTTGGTCCTGAATTAGGCAGAGTATTTAAAAGGTACCTTGATAACCCTTTGCTCAACCACAGTATCCAACCATTCAATAAACGATTCCACAGTGGCATTCTTCTTTAGAAGGTCCTTCAGTTCTTGGAACACTGTAATAGAGTCATCTACCATGTAAAAAGGAAAACATATCATTGCATGCTATTCTGAATGTGAGAAAAAGCCACTCACCAGCCATATGACAATATTGTAGCATGGAAAGGAAAGGCAAAGAATTAGAGCAGTCAAGAAATGAGAAATGCTTCAGCAAAGTAAGCAGAGACAAATTCACCACAGACTCATTTCAGTTACTTTACTTTTACAGTTCTGCAGCCTGTAAGACAGTGAAGTATTACAAGAAAATAAAAAAAAAATAAAAACCCTAATGTTCTCCTTTTTGAGATTCAACCCTGTAATATTGTCTACCACCAGGGTTAGTAGAACAATTTTATCTGAAAAGTGACAGAAATAAGTAACTCGCATATTGCCTTAATTTTTATTTATGTCTTTCCAGGTTCTCATAATGTAACATAGAACTAAACTACTAATATTTCCTATTTTCTAGAAAATGCCTAGTTAATGGCAGGTTATTTCTCTTACTCTTTTTTTCCCCTAGACCAGTATGAAAGATAAGAAAGAGAAAAATAGAAAGTGAAAATAAGAAAAGAGCAACTAATATGAAAATGTGAACAGAACTGAATCTGTTATTTAAGAAAATTGCTGTTGCTATCCTTTACCTCTCCAAACTGTGCTCAAAATGCTTCCTATAACAACTGCTACCTTTTTAACAAAGAAGATAGCTAACTTTACTTTTCAACAACAAATATGTACAGTAAGACAATAAAAAGTTAAAATTCTGTAAAATCTGTAGTTTAATCCATTCTCTATTTTGCCTATGAAAAGAAATATTACATCATATTAAAAATCACATTTTTTAAAGATCAACATTATAAAGATTATTTTCAACTAAAAAACCTTTATATAAAAATCTAAAGTGTGTCAACTATCCATTAAACTAAGCTAAAATTACATATTTTTTGCGACTTTTTCAAGATTTGATCAGTGCTACTACCCCCATATCATAAGGACAAAACTTTAAAAAGAATTTTATAACAATCAGTAGATGGGGATAATTTTTCAACAGTCATTTAAAAGTCATCCATATGGGATGAGCAGTACAATTTTACAGGATGTGAGGGAAAAGAAACTGATTTTGTTAAACCATTGCAGTTAACAATGAGCTAGATTAAAGAATGCAGTGTCTATGTCTCTCTTTTCTCAGTCCATCTCCAAGTGAGGAATGGAACACATGACTTCTTTTGATGTTACAAACATATCACCCAGGACTTACATTCAGTGTAGACCTCCCCATCAGAGTCTGTGCTGCCCGAGACTGCAAGGAGGGCCTGAGAGCCAATGCTGTTCAAATCTACCTTCTCAATATCAGACACCATGGAATTCACCACATGTTGATCAAAAAGGGCTGGCCGGGCAATCTGGGGGAGGATGTAAGGTAAAATGTTAATCAGGCAGTTAAAGAGAGACGATAAGGCAGGTAAAGAGAAGACAAGGTAAAAAGCTAAGACTCACACCGTGGAATCAAATGAATAATTCCGAGATGAAACATGTGCTGCTTAATTCTATTTTCACAGCCTGATGTTTCATTGATCAGGTTGAGGCAATTTTTCCTTTCCATTACATTTCTAATGTGCCTTCCTACCAGATCATTATCACAATGTCACCCGTACGCTTCTACTTTCTTAATTTATGAAAGGGAAAATAAAGTCAAGATAATTATACAATACACCTACAGTTTTGCATGAGCCCTCAAAACCCAAACTCTCAGCGTTTAAGCTCCCAAAGAGGCAATGCATCTTTTTGTATAATCTATCAAACAATGATATGGAGGTCTCTGCTAATTGCAAACACCTATTTCCATCAACACAGCCTTGGAGCCCTCAGCAGCCTGTCACTCTTATGTATTCGCTTCAGTCAAACCCAGGAAAAAATAAGCTCACCGACTTTGACATACAGGATGCTATAGACAAGGTAGTGAATCTTTGTCAGGAAAGAAGGCTCATTTGATATGTCATGTTTACAGTTCCTATGACAGTACTTCATTTAAGTATTATCTTCTTTTTTACTACAAAATTTTGAAGTTCATATTGCTTGGATCAGATCAATTTACAATCTCTTCCTTCTTGCATGGTGCATATTGCAAGATAAAGTCTTCCATAACTGAAATTAAACTGAAACTTAACCCAATCCATTATATCTTATGATCAGAAAGTGGTACCAAATTTAATTTACTACTTTTTAAATATATACTCACCTGGGCTAGGTGTAAGAATGATGTCTGTCGTTTCAAGGAAGAAACAAATCTTCGTGCAATAGGCAGCTTCTTATCTGCCAGGATTTCTGGTAGATTTTCCAGAGAGGAAACAACCCATTGTTCCCAGTTTTTTGCAAAATTTCTTATATCTGCCAGTAAGCTACAGGAAAAAATTTAGAGAAATTTGTGTTTCAGAGAAACGTTAATGAATTTGTATTTCAATAGTTTCCATAATTGGATTTCAGTCTATGATTCGTGAACTCCTGGGCAGATCTGTGGATTATTCCTCAGATGCCCCCAAAAGAAAATAGGAAATATTGACCTATCATCGGAACACTAAAATTGACTATAATATACTCAATTTTATACTATATATATATAGTACATATATACACTATATACCTATATATATCTACATATACTCTGGAAAAAAAAATGAGTAGTTTACAAGCCAAGATAGGTTGAAACTCACTAGCTTTAAGAATAAACAGTAATAAATCTAAGGACCATTAGTGATACCTAAAGCACAAGGTTCTAGACATAAAAACCCAAGTAAGATACCCTCCAAGAGTAAGGAAGGTGAGAAGATTCAGAGGTAACTTCAAAAAAAATCCTGTTTGCAATATTTTTTTGGAAAAAAATGCTTATCTATTTTAGTGATGTATAGTATACAAACCTCAACAATATACTGAAAAACAGACAAAATTTGTTTTTCTTGAACAATAAAAGTATATTTGTTTCTTTTTTGATCTCCTGGTGTTTTAGGACAAAAAGAAAAAAATCCAAGAAAACCAATAAGCCAGTCAAACCAGATATTGGAATATTGTGGAATACTTTAAGGCTGTTCTGTGGCTGTCCTCAGAACTAAGAGTATTTGCCATGCTTACTCTAGTTTACCCAAAATGAACATACATACTGTGAGAAAAAATCTCTAGGATATAGATTATCTCAAGCAACACCTGCTGTTTTTGTTGTGATTGTTTATTTGTTTTTTCCTGGAACATGCCTACAATAAGAATGTAGCATTATTTAGTGTCAAATACCTACCTTTCTGGCATTTCTTGCATTGTTGCAGGAATAAGGACATCTGTAAGAACCTTCAAAAGGTAACAGAAAATGATATCAGGTTTCCATTTGCCATATCAGGCTTCCATTAGACATTTATTCATTCATGCCATGCCTGTCCACTTAGATCAAGAAGGGATGACAAGGAATTTATACTGTATACTGAGTGGCTTTTACCATTCATAGATATTTCGCATCCCTGTATGATATGAACACTTTTCCCATGCATAATGTATTCCTTCTTGCAGCATGCCTCCAAAACAAGAAAGTGGCATCACTCTTGTCTGATAATAAATAATTCTTTAGAAGTGAGATGCTTAAACCCTTGACTTCCTTAGCATCCCACAGAATCTTACTGAAGCAGAAACTCAAGTATCTCCTACATCCTTGGGAGTGCTCTTAGCTACCTGACTCTCCTTAGGGCCATCCTGTGCTTGTGACAGGTATGTGACAGTGCTCAGGGTTTAGAACAGTTATGCATGTGCAATTACTGGGTGTGAAATTACTTTGACAAAAGTAATTTGTCAAAGTGTGTGTCAATTTGTGTAGTTCCATATGGGTGTGGAATTACTTTGACAAAAACTCTACTAACTTTCACACCTTCTGGGGGATTCACTACAAACAGTAAAGTCAGGTAAATGCTGACTTCACTGCATATGAGTTATTCAAAAATTCTGTTTGTTTCCACTCATAAAGTGGATGATGTGACAACACTGTATTTCGCTGGCATCTGTACTGCCAAGAACATCTAATGTGATTAGAATGATAAAAGAGACAGAAAAAAGACCCAACAGTATATTTATGAACTTCTAAGAAATTCAGTTTTATCAAATTTCTAATTAAATGCTCCTGTACTATTTCTTTTTATTTTATCCTATCAAATATTTATTATGGATAAAGTTAATATTAGATCTATTGTAAAAACAAGTTTAGTGAAGAAAAGCCTGCCAAACTCAAGGTACAATAAAACCTATACAAGTATTAACCTATACTAGGCTTAATATCTCAGCTAGGCTAAACACACTCATTACCCTTTGCTAACTAAAATATGTCTTCTTACTTTACAGCTTGATATGAACCTGAGAAATATATATTTTCTTCCTTTGGGGATTTTTGGCATATATTTTTTAGAGTAAATTATTACAAAGTCTCCCCCTTTTTCTACTGTGTCTACAGTAGTGTCTACACAGTAGTGTCTACAAAGTCTCCATGTTTGCTACTGTGCCAGTAGTTATTTCCTCTTATCAATAAGTAGCTGTGAAATGTGTCAGAAAGAGAGATGACAGTCCTTTTATATTTATATGGCATATCTTATCAGAGAAGCAGAAACTACTTTACAGATATTAATTCATGATCTGATCTGATTTTCCAAATCAAAACCTCAGGAAATGTTGTTGGCATTTACTTCCTTAATCTACTTTTTCCCTGATTCTGTCCATGAATCCCAACCTTCCAGTATTCCTCAGCTTTACTAGCACAAATATTTGTGTGATCATGCTGTGAACTGGTTCAAAGAGATGACAGGACATAAAAACATTGCAAAACAAATGTTTCTTAGATTTTTTTTCTCTAATCTGTACCAATTTGGAGTACAGCCCTATAAATCGTTTTTCTGGTATATCTAAGTCTGTGGGAACAGAAATGAAGGCAGGAGAGGCCAGAGGAATATCATAGGTCCAGCTCTTTATAACAAGAAACTGTGGTCTGACATAAGTTGCAAGTAGCAGACTCACCATGTGGGACAGACCAGACGCCTAATTCTGTATACTCACCTTTCCTAAAGAGTTAGCGATTTCAATTGAGACTCTTAAAAAAATCCTAAAGTACCTGCCATACAAACCTTGCTAGAATACACAGATCAAATCAGATAATAGAAAAAAAATTAAAAAGAGTATGTACTAGTCAGTGGTTTTGTCCTGGCAGAACCTTATGCACATCTAAATGGATATGCAAACTGCAATGGCTACTGCCATGTTATTTAGCCTTTCAAGAGGAGTTGTGTAAGTAAAAAATCATGATCTGTTTTAAGATCTGTTTTTGATCAGTTTATGAAAGATGTTCTTTAGCATATGTAAATGAAATACCTTGCTGAACTCCTTTTATTTGTAGAAACAACAATGTCTGTTTTAATTTAAAAAGGAGGGAAAAAAAAGGGCTCACTTTTCATTCAGATTTAACTTAGCCAACCTTACCAGCGAAGCTCACAGGCATTTCCTTTAGTAAAATTCAAGCAGATTAGGATTTCCATGTTAGCATGTTACCTGTAGTCACGTGCCAGGTATGCAGCAGAGCTGTGAGTAGAGTTCTCTTATGTATGTCCTTTTTTTGTTCTTGATTTCAATGAAGTTCATGGTGATTTACAAAAGTGGGAGGTAGAAAACAGTCATGGGGTCTTGCTTTTCTAACCTCAGCACTGCCTTTACAAAACCAGAATCTTTAATGTGTCAAAAAATATCTGTTAAGCTAAATGCTTAACTTACCTTATACAGTATTGAATCACAAACACAGAAGATGTCTACGATGATGGGATTTTCAAGCAGGGGAAGAAGATGGTCGGGCATTCCTTGCCAAAAATGTAATAAGAAATGCTGAATCTAAAGGAGTAAGAATCAAAACCATGCACATAAATAATGTTTTCTTGGCTCCTTGTGCATACATACCAAGAATGTGTGTTCAAACAACCTTACCTCTTCAAAGTTCCCATTAATTGCATTGTCAAGGACACACTGACAGTGCGTTTTGTACATCATGATAAGGGTATCTACCTATTCAGGAGGAAAGATAGATTAAACAGAGTTTCTCAGTTCTCGCCTTTCCTGCTGTAGTAATTTAGGTTTCTGCTTTTTTTATTTATTAGTTAAGTATGAAGTATAAACTATATTACAATGTATATTTCAAAATGTGTTTCCATATCCAGAGGTGATAGGAGATCACTTGTCTCTGTTTTTAACCACCATCTTTAAATCTCAATACTGTAATTAAATTTTGTATATATTGTGAAAACATGGATATCCAAGTAAGGCAGAAGCTAGATTAGCCAGCCAGATGACAAATTCATCTTTCTGAAGCTAGGATTAATCCCAAAGAGTAGTGCAAGTTAATGATTAGGCTACTATAGGCGTCTATGAGTGTTCTGAAACATCATCTAGTTGGACAAATGAGAAAATAGCTGCAAGTCATTTGGTCAAAGTTTAATCACTGCCTTACAAGAACCAAGCTTTACAAAGCAAAGTTTCCTTTCATCTCATCAAGCTAATTTATCTCACTGGAGTGTTCCTTTATTTCAATAACTGTGCAGAGGTATTACAAGACTTTGTAAAAAATGACTGTAAATTGTAACAAGATTAAAAAAATATACTCCAGAGAAAGAAAGCTGTACGTGAGGAAATTTTGTCTCGTTATCCGGAAGCACAGAAAGTTTGTTATGGCTTGTGCACTTTTCAGCAAGCCAACATAATGTTTTGTAAGAAGCTGGTACAATTTTATTTCAACAGAGTTTTCCATTAGTTTAGCATATAGCATCTACACAATCTCCATCTTCCTCTATTTTAAAGACCTGGAAAGGTAATTTCAGTTTTATCCCCTGTTAGAGACAGAAAAATGTTCATAATCATTTTTTTGATGCATCTTAGTTTCCAAGGATGAGGCTATAATGCACCACCTTGCAAAACTCTGTCAAAACATCCAAATCATGACACACAGTTGCTGAATAAATCTGAATAAGTTAGGAAGCTGCATAGACAGGTCCTTCAATAGAAAGACTGACAAGTTCTGCAAAACAGCTGCTATAATGTTTTGTTTATCCTATAGGATAATGTTTTGTTTATCCTATAGCTCTAGCAAACCTGTGGGTCTGTCACTGAGAGAGGGATTGATGTGTGGACAGCTCCTACGGGGCTTATGGAGATTAATTGAACTGTTGCACAGGTTATGGGACAGTTAAGTCCCATGAGCATGAGTGTGGACTGCAGGACATTTCAATATCTCTTGGTCAGGTAAAATGGAGGAAAGAAAACAAGAAATAAGGAAAAGGAAAAAGAAAAGTAGCAAGAGAAGCAAGAGACACAGAATCTGTTCCCAGATCAAATCACCTCAAAAGTCCAGATAAGCCCTGCCACCTCCTTCGTTAGCATCAAAAGAATCAGAAAGAGAAGAAGAAAGAGAGAAGAAAGGGAGAAAATGTTGGAGAGGTAAGATTCAGTTTTGTTTACACTGCTTTTTTGTTCTGCAGGGAATCCCTAATACTTTTCAGACTTAAGTGTTAGGAGATGGTTGTATATTTGAGGGAGGACTATTGATGCCTAGCAATTTACTATACACTGCCGAGTACACCAGCTCTCTGGCTTTCCTTGGGGAATGTAAGATTTGCTGCCAAGATTAATTCACTACAGGTGACTCCTTTTGGTATAGCTTTTACAACAGGAATCCTAGTCTTTACTACTTTCACAGAGCAAAGTCAAGGACTAATTAAAAAAAAAAACAAAATAAAAAATCAGCAAACAAACAAGCAAACAAAATAGTAGAGCAACAGATCTCAACAGAGCCAATATCATGACCCATATTGGAAACTAAACTGCAGAGTTCACAATTTGTACCGAAAAGGTATCCAGCACGTCTCAGGGATGTAGCCACCTGAGAACCTGCAAAGGGATCAGAACCATAACACAGACATAACAGAGAGCAACACAACCCATGCACCAGCAGCCCTTCCTGCTGAACAGCTAAAATTAGAATGAGCAATACTGTATTGTTTTGTAAAATACAATTTAACAGGATACATTGTGTGTTTAGTGGTATTGTTCTGTTTTTTGATGACTGATAGCCAAAACCGAACATGTGCTGTCAATATTTTTTCTTGAATATACACTCCACAATGCCCCCTTAAATAATATCCAACCTAAATGATATTTGTCAAAGGAATTTTAAACAATTCTTTTAAAGTAAATCATGCACTCCAGATTTTCTGTCTCCTTTTAGCCAACTAATGAACAAAAGTAAAATTCATCTAATTATTTGTTGTGACTTATATGTTCCAATCTAATCAGAACAAAATTTATCTTACATCCAAAGGCATTTGGAATGAATACAGCTCTCAGCTATTTGTTTGTTTTGCTCTCTGCGTCTTACATACCATCAGTTTGTAAAATGCTAAGTCAGTTAATAGGTAAATAATTCAATCACCTTTCCAGTGGAGAGCCAGTTAATCGGTGTTAGTAAAGGTTTGCCCCCTCTATAAATCAGTCACCTCTGTTTGATTATGGACATTTCTGGCTCTTTCATGTCAATACCTCAAAGGCTAAGATATGAAGAAACATTCTGTAGCAAATTTTGATCTGAAAGTCAGGAGAGAAATAGTCCACATTTTACCTTCTCTTTAGAAATACACCCTTGAAGCAAAAGGTGCTGAGCACTTGGAAACTCTGGAAGGAGAGTTCCAGTTTTGGAACTCAGGGAATATTTTCTTGTGAAGCCACCCTGAAGTGTGAGGAGAAAAACAGTAGCATTGAAATACAGATTTAAATAAAATCAATGATTCACGTTAAAGCAATAATTGATTTCATGAGACTCTCAAAGTTCCAGAATATTTACAGATAATCCCTCCAAAATATTAACACTTATATCCAGATCTGTATTCCACTTCCATGGAGCAGCTAAATATGTGCCTAGATCTACACTTCATCAAACACTCTTTTCTATGTTTTTCTTACAACCCTTAAGCCAAATGAATTCATGGAATTCTTCTGGCTTGAAATCTAGTGTTTAAAAACTGAAGTAGAATATAATCTTTTGCTCACTTTTGCAGTATGGATGATGATATCATTTTTAGGACAACCCTAAGTTTTAATTAATCTGTATCTTTCCAATGCAAGCATAGAGGACACTGGTGATACCATCATTCTCCCCTGTTCTTTTCTTGCTGTAATAGCTCTACAGCAGACATTTATGCTGTTTTCATGCAATAATGTTTTACTACATTACTTTACATGCTTTCTTATTTTAAGGCTAGGAATATTTTATGGCACTATGAATATGATGTCAGGTAGTGTCTATGGTCACTTCTGGGCAATGTATTTGTTATAGAGTTGTCTATGACTGAGGAAGACTTGACATAACACCCCAGAAAATCAAGTCCCCCATTCCTATGATCTCCTGTATCAAAATAAATGTAGATATAAACAAACGTTCCAAGAGCTTTGTAGAAAAAAAAAAAAAGAAGGATACTGAGTTTTACGCCCACAAGGAGCATGCCACTGATTCTAGCTGCCTCTCTCCTACTCTCTTGAAATGACCGTAAGTTTGGCCATTGGGACTAGGTTCGTCTCTGTGAACATTTTTAGAGCATTATGTAAACAATATTTGTCTACATTATTTATTATTCAAATATATAAAAAGCTCCAAGTCAAAGAAATTATAGAGATTTAGATGCATTTATCCTTCTTTGTGTCAATATTTCTGCAATTTTGCAATTGTCTATTAGTATAAGAAGTCTCTTTTTTTCCTCTTGACAACAGGAGTAATCTAGATGACTTCATTATGCAATTACCCATGAAATATATTAAAAGCTCTGATTAAAAGGAATTAGTTCATTTAAAAGAAGGTAGTGATGATGGTGGGAGGTTTAAGAAAAGATCATTTGCAGTGTTTTTAAACTTGCTAATGGACTTATATGACTGTGCCTCAGTTCTAGGTTTAATATTTTAACCCACTACCTCTTGCCTGTTCAATTTAATGCCATCTGTTTCTAATGGTCATTTAACATTAAGATAATGACTGTAATATTACCTGCCTAATTAACCATGTAGACTCTAATGGTGCACTAACTGGTTTAGATAAAAGAATTTGCTGGTATCTCCCCCTACAGAGAGAATACTAAAAAACTTGATAAAACATACCAGAAGTAAACAGTGTCCCTGGCACTCAATAAGTGTTCATTCAAATGCCATTTGCTCAGTATATTTAGACAATCAGCGCTTTAACATCTTTTCAATGTCTTTACGTTTCTACTGACAATTACACCTTATGCAATCACTGTAAATCTTTCTGGAATAACTAATTATATATATTTTAAGCAAGTGAAGAATGATACATCATCTGTTCACTCTAATAGAAGCTTTCAGTAAAGCGAAATTGTTAAAATTCAATGTAGATCATGAAATCCAGTTTTTGATTTAAGATCCGCCTGAATAATTTTAGATCAAAGATAGGCAATAGAAAATGCATATTAAGGCATCCTTTCCTACTTATTTCCATTGACATCTCTGGGATTCTTTTTCTGGAAGGACCAAGATATTTAACTCTGATGCAGGAATAAGGCAGATATAGAGAATTGCACATCTGAGATGGAAGAAAATGATGCATTCATTTAAGTCAAAGCAATCAGTAATTTCCCAACTAAAACTCTTAGAGAATCCATATTGTAATAGTGCTCATGAATCTTTGAGTATAGTGGGGATATCCCACAGTACAGCACTAATCTCTTATGATAAGACAAATGATTATCTGGACAAGGGATCTGCAGTGGATCTGATGTGTTTGAAACTCAATAAAACATTTGATGTGCTGTCAGCATGGAAAATGACTAGTTATGTTGGTGAGAATGGGGATTAGCACAAGAATGTAGAATGCTTAAGGAACTGACTCCAGATGGAATGACAGCAAGTTGTTTTGACAAGGAAATTACTGTGTTGAAAAGGGACTGGAGTGAAGATACTCGAAGATGAGACTTAGGACCATCTTAGTGAGCATATCATAGACAGTGTTGGCTGACCTAGGTTAATGAAATCATTAATAAAGAGGAAGACCAAGAGGTCACATAGAAAATCTGGATGGCTCAAAGATAATGGTAATGAAGGGGATAAAAATCAATAGTACAAAACCGAGCTCCCAGGGACGAGTAAGAATTTCTGTTATCAATCAGCTAGGAATTGCTTATCTGGAACTGAAAGAGTATGACCTGTTGTATATCAGCAGATCACAGCAGCTATATTTGGACTGGTAAATTAAATGGCATCAAGAAACATACCTAGGAAATTAAATACTTTTATTCAGAATGGGTTACAACATAACAGTTAGAAATCTCCCCCCAAATTACTGGTCACACTTCAACAATTACTGCGTGCCAAGGACTTTCCTCCTTGGTTTAGATGTGCCTATTTTGTTATGTAAGACTAGAATGTTTAATAATTTGGATGCAGGCTTTTCCTTGACAGTTGAACTCAAGTGTCAAAAAATAATCCTAGGAGAAATTTTTAACCCTTCATCTAGTAGCAAAAAAATACCTAGTTTTCTAGTGTAAATGTGACCAGAATAATAGTAAGCAATAGTACAGCTGCGAAAATATGAAAAAGACAAACACAGTCCTAGGAGAATTATCATCAGAAGGGATTATTTTAACAAAAAATGGAGACACGCCATTTACAAAAGTTTTGTAAGATCTTTCTTGTAGAAAAATATTCAACTTGGAGAAAGTACAGTGAAAGGTTGAAAGGCTGCTCAGAAATTACTGAAAGAGCTACTGTTTGTTTCATCTAGCAAGCAGAGAAAAAGATATTTAGGGAAATCCCATGAGAAGAGAAAAAAATATAGAAAGACAATGCCGGGCAAGAGAAAATAGGTAAAAAATTAATCTTCTGGCTTCCAAACAGAGAAATGATATTCTGAAAAAAATCTTATTCTGTAGAAGTAATGAATGCAAAAAAAATAGCAAGCTAAACTTGATCTTTTTTATTAAGAGGTGCTTATAACGCTCTGCAGTTATGTGGAATTAGACTAGAAAATGGATCCCAGAAGATGCTTCCAGTCTTCTGCTCTTTTGACTGCTTAGAAGAGCAAATACTCAGCATCACAAAGAAAGATTATGAAGTTTGATTTCTAATGCAAAATAATAATGAAATTTTCAAATAAAGGACTAAGAAGAAAACCAGAGGTCACAAATACTATTTTGATTATAGCAGAAATGAAAGAAAACAGACTAGGGCACTTACCTCATTCTTCAACTTGCTTCCAGAGAATCTTTGAAAATAAATGTTTGTTTATTTTTTAATAAGCAGAGCATTTTATATATAAATTATATATTTTATGTTTTATAAAATAAAATATATATCAAATATTATCTAATATCTAATATTATTATAATAATAAACAATATACATTTAATGCATATAATAATACATATACATATATATTTATAAAACAGATCAGAAAAATAACCACATGCTCCTCTAAATTATAACAAAAATCAGCCTTTTTTTTCTTAACTATTTCAATTAACTTGTAAGTGCCTGATGATATCAGGCAACCTACTGAAAATGACTTCTAAAGAAAGAAAATATAGATTCACTGACTAAGTAGTAAAGTATTAAACTCAGTTTCATTTTTCTCTTTAGAACTTTACAATTTCATAAATGTTGAAAGGTTTGTGTGGATGCAAGTCCATTAGGTCTTTACCAGGAAATCCATAACGTTTTAGATCCAGCTGAGTAAATTCAGAATAGAAAAAAAATATAGAGAGAGAATTTCATATTTTGAGGAAAATGAAAAAAAGAAAAATGTTTTTCCAGTTCTTTTAGCTATAACATTATTTTGATGAAGGTGAAATGCACTTTAAAGATGAAAGTTTCATTAACTGTTTTTCAGTGTTTTTCAGAAATGTTTATCAGTGTACAGACAGTGGCCCACAGCAAAGATCCACAATGAAGTCACTGGATTATAAGGTAACTCTGTGGTGCAGAAACTAGAAAACCTACATTTTAAATCATAACTGTTAAACCAGAGAATCTGTAAGGTTATTGCTTTAACTGTTTTAAGGATATATGTTTTAATGTTTTATTTTTACATCATCAGTAAAATGGTAACCATATAAGTTAATTACAGCTTGTTTGATTATTGATATTTCCTGTTCTACTTGCTGTCAAGTGATAAGATTCTGTGGGCAATATGCAGTGTTTTAATTACTAGCAGCAATATTATGATTTCATGCTGATGGGATGCTTTGCTATCAGGAAAGAAACCCTGTGGCTGAGTGGTTGTGAAATTCTGGCCACCTAGGTCAAGCACAGACAAATGACAGCTCTTGGCACAAGATGATCTAGCATACAGATTTCCCTTCTCTGGTGACAGATGAGCAAGAGAAAAGGTGTAAATCAGTGACTATAACATAATGCTAATTGAATTTATTTAATAGGTGTGTTTGTTATAGACTGTGGACTGGCTGGCAAGAGAGCACTAATTTACAGCACAAACAATAGTCCACCTCTGTTAGCATTGGTTCTCCAAACCCTCATCACTAGTTAAAACTACATTTCTGACACTGCTGTCTACATTAATAGTGTTTGATGTTAGGGTATGCTCCCTCCACAGTGCAAAGCCAAGTATTTAAAAGGATTGAAAGGTCAAATTGTCAGTGGCATTTATGGATTCAGGCATCTAGGTCCAATATTTTGGGACTACTTTATTCAGCTCCATTGCCTAAATATTAATCTGTCAATGACAATTGGATGCTGTAGCCCTGTAGCTGTCTTTCCACAGAGTCACAATATCATATTTGCCAGTTGCATTCAGGGGTGTTTGGTGTCTTGTGGTAATTGAAAAGCCAATATATCTAGGCAACTAGACTGAGGTCCACTGACCCTTCTAATCTTTTGACAAATTTTCTCTAATTTGCAAGCCCTATGGTGAAGATACCATATATTATTTGTGCTGGTGAGCATGATATAACCTGATCCCACTATCAAAGCATTCATTTCCCCTGCCAATTTCTGTCCCAGGCTTGGTCCAGGAACCATTCTTTTTATAATCCACTTACTAGATCCAAAAGGGACAAAGAGGAGATTTTTAGATACTTCATTATACTCAGCAGACAGCAACTGTGACACTCACATGGAAGTCTCAAGTTTGAGTTCCTATGTTATTAGATGCTTTTCTTCCCCTGTAGCTAGATCTTAACCCCATGCTACTGCACCATTCTCTTCGCATAGATATATCTAAGCACAGCAAGGGACCAGACTATGTGAAGTCTGCAACTGAGCTTCTACTCTAAATCAAGGTGGTAAATTGAACAATGGACTCTCAAAATTCAGCATCTTCTATATGTGACATGTGTCATGCAGGAGCCTAATATCAAGCAAACGGACATAATTGGTGAAATCTAAACAAATCATAAACCAACCATCTAGTCCTCCTTCTCATATTTCTTTTTAGATTTGGTTAGGGTCACAGAAATGAGAGCAGTGCAACAATGAATTATCTTATAAAACCTGCATAGGAAACCAGCAGCCCAGAATTCAGAGTAGGTTTTCCATAGGGGTCCTATAGCTCATGCCAAGCTGCGTTGTGCTGTCTGGGGTGGATTGGACAGGCTTAGGTTCCTCAGATTGCTGTTGTAGAGCATCAAACTGCTACTCATGCACCTGAGATGATCCTTCAGCTGCTTGATTTTCTGATCTGTCTGGATCTCTTTTTAAAACACTTTTCATTCTCTGCAGTGATACCTAATATTAAGCTATACATCTGTCTTGGAAACAAACCACCTAAAAGTCAGGTACTACCAGAGAGAAGTCCCCTGCTGCATTTGGCAGCTGTCACATAAAGAAGAGTGTTTATATTACGTGGGATTTTCAGAAGTGCCCAAATATCTCACTGTTATGAAATAACGACTGTCAGCAATATGACTATTCCTGAAAATCTTAGAGGTTATTTACAAGCATCTTCATGTGACCATATACCCTTGGAAACCTAGCCCTGGGGAGTTTTGCAGACCCCCCCTGTACATTTGCACTCATAACTGCTAGAATGTACAAGGCCAGGGTTCTGAATGACATGATGCTGGCTGAGATAAAGTTGAGGAGCAAGAGTGATTATATCCCTTTTTGTTAAGCTGTCTTTTAGTCATTTAAATGAGCAATTTGTTCAAGGTAATCTGTATTAACAAAGAACTTCATCTAGCTGTGTACCACCAACACCCCCGTAGCTCTAGATAAATATTGGACAAGGAAATGGCATATTCAGGACTATTAAACCTTAAGACTTGCAGTAGTAAGCTCTCTCTTTTTCAGAATCACTGCCAACATTACATTCATTTTTCACACTTGCCCTATTCTTTGAATATAACCCGAACCTGTCATTGGTTGAACTTTCTGTGTGATCATAAACTCATTTATTCCTTTCCTTTCTCAGATTTCCCACTTATATAAGTATACTGCTGTAGACAATGAAAGCCGTCATTCAAGCCATATGTGAACAGAGACATTTGTTTTACGAACTATTAATCTTTGGTAAACCAACAGGCAGCTATCGTAACGTATTGATCCTGCTAGCTGTCCCTTAAATAAATATAATTAGAGCTTCCTGGGTTAGGTTTAAACAGATATTAGCCAGTCAAAGGACCAGTAAATATTAATCTACATTGACCCCTCCCTCCTGCCCACAGGTGCCAGCTTCACACCACACTCCAGATGTTTCATAATGGAAAGCTGTCCCGGAGAAAGCACTCGGTGGGTGACACGCAGGCAAACAGAGACAAGTGTTCTGAAAACTGAGTTTTGCTGTCACATACTTGGACAAATCCTCAGAAATCCTCAGATTTCAATGGGGCCATACTGAAGGATATTAGCCAAACAGCTAGATTACATGTTAAAACAAAATATGCATCCTAAGGTAGAAAGTTGCTGCCTAACATGTTGAGATTTGCAGTAATACTAGTTCTAGTATCAAAAGCAATTGGTGTCCTACCTTCCTCAGTGAAGGTTAGGGTTAGACAACCACTGAACATCTTTCTAAAGCACTGGCAGAGGTTAAGTTTCAGAAGTTATGTTACTGTTAAGTTACCTGGTTAAGCCTTTTCCAGAATACACAGAGTGGTAGTATGCACTACTTTCTTTAATCCCAATTCCATAATAGTGATACCTGTGAAAAAAGAAGAGGATTATTTATATTTTGGGGTGACATGTAAAGTAGACCATTTGTCAACTTGATCTTTAGTGCCGTATAGTTTTTTTTCTTAACAGAAAAAAAAAGCAGTGACTTCCCAAAGCATGCCAGAATAGCAAGATTGGGGCTTCTAGTCTTCTTGATTGGTCATAGCAAAGTTTACTGTAGTCCATCTGTCAAAGGTCATAGGCCTTGTCTTACAAAATCAAGTAATTATGTTTAAAAATGATTGGATTAAACCAAATACGTATAAAAATTCCATGAACAAGGTAATAAAGATGGTTTTCTTTGGATTGAAGTCAACTTGAAAATACTCCAGCAATTGGTTTAACGGAATTGTTTTAAAGTAACACTTCTAATTCAAGCATATGACATGCAAACAAGCTCTAACATACAAATAACAGTTTGAGTGCAGTGGAGGTTGACAGAAAGATCAGTTAAACTGATATCTCTGACCACATGATTTAGATAAAAAACAAAAAAAGTAGTAACAGATTTTAAAAGCAACCCATCAATAAAAGCCATTTATATCTGTAACATTTTGTTTACAAATTATAGAGACTATATGGTGCCTTTTGTTCAGAAAAATCACAGAGTTACAATCCACTTTGCAAACTCTCTGTATTAACCCCTTCAGCATCAAACTTGTAATGTATCCATTTAAGATACAGGTAGAGGGAGGGGCATTTTAATGGAAAAAATCCTTTGGGTCAAAACTCATCAACTAACTATAAAATTACACTGGAAAATAAATGTAGCAGAGCACACCTAAGTGTGAAAGTTCTCTCCTTTGGGCACGCTTAGAAGCAGAGTAGCAAAAATGATAAAACAGCGCAAGAGAGAACAACTGAGCATTGACAGGGAGGCTGAATGATTTGATGTGTCTTTTTGCTAGGCCTGATCCTGCTCTGAGCAGCCCCAAGGCCCTTGTCACACTACCAGCACTGAAATTTGCAGTTCTAATGGGGCAAAAAAGCCTAGAGGAACCCTCAGGAGAACCACCCCATAAACAAGCCCCCAGGAAAGGGTTTCACCACATACCAGACTTGGGTAGCCACAGTGCATGAAAAGCCCTAGACACTGGCAACACACTGAAGTTCACTGTTCAATCAATTGCCAGCAAGGGAACCATCAATGAACTAAAATAGACATGGGTATAGATGAAACACTTGTGCCTCTACATGTGCTTAGCACACAGTGGGCAGACAGGCAATCTGTCTGATATGGGCCTTAATCATAGAATCATCAAGGTTGGCAGGAACCTTTAGAGATCATCTAGTCCAACCTCCCTGCACACGCAGGGTCACCTGGAGCACGTGGCACAGGGCTGCATCCAAAAAGGTTTTGGAGATCTCCAGAGAAAGAGATTCCACAACCTCTCTAGCATTCACAGTTAAGCATGTGCTTGAAAACCCAGTCCTGGATCAAAATTCCTAACACTAGCGAAATTTCTGACATAAAAGCTAAACACATAAACATTTTTTTTTACTGTCATCAAAATTAAGTATTGAACTGGATGGAAAACTATGTAGAGCTATGATCAATTCCTTTAAAGTGTTATATGCACTATTTCTCATTGCCCATGCAAGCAAGCAGTTGACTACGTCTCATTCCAACTTCCTACATCTTTGTTTAAATCACATCATTTAAAAATTTTTTAAAGTAAAATTTCTCACTTTCATGACAAATTTGAAATTCCCTGCTGCTAAAGTTGGAATGTGCCAGAAGCAAAGGAAAAGGAGCACTTCTTTACAAGGTTAGGATTCCGATTATTTGAGTTACTCAGTATCTGAGGTAATATTCAATATCACCATATGTGGGCTAGAAAGGGAACTGTTGTACAACTTAGATTCTCAGGTTTCCAGCGGCAGGCAAAATATTTGCTGTTGCTCTGGAATGTCCCAAGATATCAGATTTTAAGGCTGTCACATTTTGTTACATAGAGAAGAGTACCTTCAGTACCTTGTCATAAAGGCATGGTACCTACCTTTCTAACTTCACTTAATGATTTGTGCAGTCAAATTTAGAGTACCAAAATAAATCCAGTTTTCCAGCCATGGCAGAGAACCAACAAAAATTAATAATCTGTACTTTTCAAATTCTGTCTGGCATACTTTTATAGAGTATTAAGATATAAAGCTTTTATTCTATTATAAACTGAAGTAATTATTTGAAGAGCATGTTTTGGATTCCGTATTATTATATACCCATCCCCGACACACTGATAACATCCTTACCCACAACTTCAAGTACCTTTGTTCTGTCTCTTTGTATGCATATATGTATATGCACATACCGCATATGTCTATTTTATTAAGTTGTATTTTTATCACATAATTCATAAAATGAAATCAGTTACGAAAATGAACTTATTCTCAATTTGTTTAAAAATCATTTGCAAGAAGCAAACTGAACTGCCTTCCTCTTTAAATTTCAGTGGTTTGTTGTAACATATGTTCCTATGCAACTAGTAGACCTGATTTTAGCATGCACTGACACAAATGATAGCTGATAAGGAAATGATAGGCTTAAGCTGTTCAGGGACTTGCAATAACTTGTTATCACAGGGCCAGCTGCCATATCAGTTTTATTAACCCACTAAATCACTCCTAATAAATAAGATAATAGTTTCAGACATGATGGATAAAAGCTAAGATTCAGCATTGATCAAAGTCTACAAAGAAATTAAATTGTAACTTGAGCTCAAACAGCCTTCTTTGTGTATGGTCTGAGCAGTTAGTTCTCTTTCCCAAATAGTTGTTTCAGGTAATTCATGAAACATGAAGATTATAACTGAATTCTAGTGGTTGCTGCAGTATGTGCAATATTACCTATGCAAAAAGGCAGATCCAGAACTGATTCAAAAGACAGCTGGTGCTTAGGAAACACTAATCTAAGAGAGAGGTTTGCAGCATTTATTGTACTGGGTCTTCTCCCACTTAACAGGGATACAAAAGTTCTCCTTTACCCTATAGCAATCTGGAGTGATTAGCATGGGCCTTAGAAATGAGTGTATATTGTTTATTTTTAAAAATTGCATATAGTACATTATATTTTCTTTTCAAAGAGAGAGGAGTGTTTTAAAGAAAAATTCTTGTATTGAAAAAAGCTTTAGAACAAATGATCTGCTGTATCATAAATTCTGACTCTAACGATGACATTTCTAGTATTTATTACATATATTTTTAAGTCCTTCCGTTGGCTGGAACCTGAGATGGCAAAAACTGCTCCAAAAAAGAGGAAGAACTAAAATTTGTGTATCTAACAGCTTGGAGCTGCATCCTGATTATTCTCTGGTTCAGTGTTTCAGTGTTTTAGCTAGTTGTTGCTTTTAACTAGTAACAACTTGAAGTTGAAGTTTTCAAGCTAGTTTTAGTGTTGAAGAATAATTCCTGCCACCTTAACGGTGACAGAAAAGGGAACTGACTTTCTTTGCCTTCTGTCCATGCTCAGGGTCTGTCAACATAAGATATTTAATAGGCAACAACACAATTTATTTATTTATTATGTAAGAATGATGATTCCTTTGAAGATGTAATCTTTTTGTTTCATGTTTATACAGAATCTAACTTAATAAGCCCTAGACAGTGATTAGAGCTCCTAGGCAATATCATTATACAAAGCATCACTGCCAGGAATAGTTGTTACAACTACTACTTCTCCTTCCAATGCTATATCCAAGCAATGACTGAAATAGTAGGAACAAAATAATGTAAGCGCACTACTGTATCTAAAGAATATTATTTAAATGCTAATATCTTATAACAGTCACAGTAGTGCAACTTTGTTCAACATAGAGTCATTTTATAATCAGAGTCCATGCTGACTCAAGGGTAGAGTGTAACCAGCCATTTACTGAAACTGGTGAACAGCCCATTAATTTGCTCATTTATTTAATGAAAATACTTCTGTAAATGATACTTGTGTGATTAACTGCTACCTGATGAAGACATAAGTTAGTGTGGTCCTGAGTGAGTATATGGTTCTGAGGAGAGAATATGGTCCATAAAATATTGAACATCCTGATTACTATATATACTGCCATTTCTCTACCTCTCTTCTACTGAATTCAGTCTTTGAACTGTAGCTATTGACACTTATGCCTCTTGTGAGTCTCTTCTGTTTCTTTCTTTCCTTTTTTTTTTTTTTTTTTTTTTTGCACAGCCATTATAATGTAAATGTAGCTTAGTGGCCATGTGAGTCAGAGAGGAAAAGTCTCTGAAAAAAAGAGAAACAAATGCCAGATGTTCAAACAAAACCTGCAGACACTTCATCTCTTCAAATAAATCATTCAAGAACAGCTAATCCATATGAAAATATGACACACGAGTACCACCAAGATCAATAGAGATCTACATAGAAAATGCTGGACATGAAGTATTTTTGTGAGCTGAACTTTATCACATCAGCAATGCATGAAATCCCTCACTCATTCCATGTCCCCTGCACCTCGCCCCGAAAAAGCTCCTTTCTAATAGCAATTCTGCTCCAAAATATTCTTTTCAGTATCTAAGGGTCATTTTCAAAAGGAAAAATGAGTTTCAGTTACAGTTTTCCTCCATATGTCTATTTTATTTCTCCTGAAACAGGAGGTTTTATTCAGGTAACAAGATAGGTGTGATGTCTTTCATGTATATGATGAAACATGATTTTTTTCATAGTTTCTGGTACAATCACAATTCACAGAGTGTCAGTTCATTAATTTTATATAGACACATGCAATGTTTAGAGTATTTTCTGTAAATGGGTGTATAGATAATTGTGCCTTACTTTGAATGGCCTCTTGTTCCAAGCCGCCTTGTGGTAAGGAGGGGGAATTTCTGGCGAATGGTCTGAAGAGAAAATAACTGTATTAATTTCTGACAATGGTATGTTTCCTTAGGGGTTTATTTGTGCCAAAAAAAAAAACCACAAAATGTAAATATATAAATACATGGCCTAAAGTGAATAAGTATATGAATAAGTATATCTGACATACAGGTGACAAACAACTGGGTGCTTCTATCCTGGTTGATCTCATTTTGCATCTCCAGTCTTCCCACCTTTAAAATAAAGCTTATTCTCCCTTTCCATTTTCACTTCTGCAACACATTCTGTGTGTCTTCAGTAGGACACTGCCCCATACAGGCTCCCAAAGTACAACATTTTTCTTTTACTCCAGAGATCTAAACAGGATCAGGAAAACACTTTGCCACTGGCTATTTTATTTCCAACATAAAACAGCTAAAAATGAATTGATATTTAATGTGAAAAATGTGGTCTGAAGTTTTAACACAAGTAAATATTCATCTTATGGGAGTTTCCGTGTCCTCCATTCTCAAAGTACTGCACAGTCCTCACTGTATTCATGCATGTAGAAACCTCACAAAAGCTTCTGCTGACCCTATTTTACAAATTAAGAATTCATGTTATGTGGTTTAATTCAAGTCAAACAGAACAGTCCATCACTGAGGTTCAGACTAGTGCTTTAATATTATCTTTGCCTTTCTGTAAAGAAAGCTGCTTAAGGCAAAAGTTTATGAAGCAAAAAATTGATTCAGTAACAGAGGCAGACCTAGTAGAAACATCTAATAAATAAACCATAATCAAAGCATTGTTTAAATGGAATACTGTTGCCTCCTCCTCTTATTCTTAAACGGCATAATGAAATACAGGCATGAGGAAAAAAAATTTTAAGTGAACATTTTATGAACTGGATTTTAATTATTATTATTTAATTAAATTAATGTATTTTGCTATTTATGAACAACGAATAGATCAGCAGTGTTTAAGAAAATATGATCCTTGAAACATTTTTGTTTTCCTATTTCACTAACTCCTCAGGATTTAATTTGAAGAGTTCACATCTCACTTTTATTAAATGATTTCAGGATTAATTGTTGAGGAGGATAGAAAAGAGGATGAATCAACATTTTTTTTTCATTCAGAAGCTCTTTGTGTTATTAAATTTTACTCCCCTTCTTGAATTGCTCATGTGCCACTTATCACTTTACACACAGCCTTTAGTTTAATTAAAAGTGTCCTCCATGTCAGATCTGTTTTAGTGGAAAGAACCCTACCAATGTCACTGTAAAATAAAAACTCTGTGAGAGAATGCCTTTTTTTTTCTTTATTTAACACAGAAAATCAAAGGAAACCTCAGTTTCATTCTCCTAAAGTTGTTAGCCTGAAACTCCCTTATAGGTAGAAGCACAGTTTGGTTTGATTCCATGTACATTAGCAGTAGAAAACATGATTTTGAGAGCCATTATGACACAGGCAGACTAGAATGTGATGTTATTAAAGAATTAGTCTAACAAATGATGGAGACATTTACTCTTTACCTTCCCAAAAGTTGCAGCACAGGCAGGTTCCAATTTCTCTTTTCTGCAGAAGTCTAAATAATGTGCGTAAAGGATGCATCGTGGCAAACAAACTCCTTCGCATACAATGTAGTTTTCTTCCAGCCTGTATAGAAAGAGATTCTGCCAGAGTAAGAAGCAACATGGTATGTCTTCCCTTTTCAGCCTCTTTCTGCTGTTTGGAACTGCCCTCTCCTTTCATTTTACTGAAGATTTCCATGACAGCACACAGATGAGATCCTACCAAACAAGAGAGGCACTAGGGAGATGCTGACTCCAAACCTGGTGGTTAGGGACTTGCAAAATACATAAAAACTGGAACTACCTCTTCTAGTATTCTGGATCTAATCTAGTCTTCTAATATTTCTGGATGTTTTTGCTTTCTGTAAATAACTAAATGGTCGCTAAGAGCTAGCCCAGTCCTGAAAATAAGAACATAAACTAGACAGTGGAAGACTGAAGGTTTAAGTCTGCTGCTTGAATAGGGCTGAGGCTTGAACATACATCTTCTGTCTCACTGTATTTCAATATTTGGGCTAATGTCTCTTTCCTTTCTACTTTTGCTTTTCAATTTTCATATTGGACCTGAAGCTGTTTCTTGACCAAATCTTTCTGAAAATCAAGGAATTTAATTTTTTGAAAGGTACACACTTCAGATACAGCTTTCTAAACAGTTTTAAAGTTACAAGTGCCTATTGAGGGTTATTAAAATGGTATATTAAAAGCTGAAGTAAAATCTAGTAATTTTTACTTGAACTAAACTCCTGGTAAGGTCCGAGTATATTATTCCTGCACTGTTTCTTTTCTATTAGTTCCCTTTGTTCATTATTGTTGGAAAATTTTATAATAAATTTATTTCTCAAGATACATAAACATTTAAGAGAATGCTGGGTAGAAAAACATTGAACAGATAAAAATTTTGTGATGAGTCCTTAAACTCGTCTCCTCAGAATTTAGTCTCTGCCCAGAGAGTCAGATGTAAATCAAACTGGGAAATCTGGATTGAGATACACTTTTAAGGAAAAATCAAGATTTACACTATGCCTTTGTAACGAAACTCCAATTTAATTCAAAAGTATTTGTCCCTAATTTCAAGAATGCTTTAATAGGAACCTTATCTACTAATGTCTGCAGAATTTGACCCATATTTGGTTAATTTTTGCCCAGATAAAATGAAGTAAAGTTTAAGGCTTCTGCTGATTGCGAAATATACTGTAAAAAATAACATACAGTCTTAAAGCATAATTAAAAAATACCATTTATAAATTTAATTCTTAAGTAATACATCATTCCTACGTTTTGCAAGATTTTCTGTAAACCAATAATACACATTAATTAATAGTGTAGTCCTGCAGAACGGGAAACCTATGAAGTTGACCTTAATTCCATGTCAGATACAAGTATTGCACATCCAGGTACTGAACCAGTACTTGGTGACTTTATGTGTCACTAAAGCCTGAGCTTTCATAGACGGCCACCTCTTGTGAGGACTTGCACGTCCTGGCAGATCCATGTCAGCTGTTGGACCTCTGTTAATAAAGATTAAAAATGGAGAAGGGGAAGAAGAGAAAAACACGGAAAGGACACTTATTGTAGGTTAGGCTTTTCAAAAAGAAAAAAATAAAAGAAGAAAAAGAGAGAAAGAAGGAAAGACAAAAAGAGAGGGCAACTATTTGTAAAGCGTCTGCGAGACACCAGCTTCGGCGTGTCCCCGTGCGCGCTCGGGGCGCCCTCGGCGGCAGCACCGGAGCCGCGGGGCGGGCGGCGGCGCGGCGGCTCCCGACCGTGGTCCCTACCATTGCAGGGTGAGCTGCGTCTGCTTCTTCTTGTCCTTCATGGTGCGCGCGGTGCTCCTCTTGGGGGACTGGCTCTTGGCGGCGGCTCTCAGCTTGCGCTCGGCGGCATCCTCCTTCTCCTCCTCTTCCTCCTCCTCCTCCTCCGAGGGGAGCGCTTCGCGGTCCACACGCCCCTCTGG